ATACGTATCTCTGTAATAATAATTAATGATGTGTAACTAAATATGAAAGGATCATTTGCGCTCTGTCGAAGAGGTTGGATATATATTAGCTGCGGGGCCATATTATAGTGTTGTAGTTGCAAAGAGCGGCGATGGTCAATCATCCCAAAGTAACTTACCTACGATCAACTGAAACAGAAAACCAATCGGCCACGGAAATAAGACTTTAGATTAMGATATCGCGTGCGAAATGTAACAGAGTTTATATTGGTTGCAATTGCATCTAATGGCTCAYCGTCAAAGAACTATTCGATCAATCAGAGTTCATTGATTAAAATATGACGCTATGTCGCTATAGATAACTAGCAATAATAATGYCAATTTTATCATTTATCGCCTATTATTTTTCATATAGATGATGTTWCTCACTTGTAGAGGACCCATTATGTGAAAAGAGTTGAAAGAAAATAAGTATCTGCTCGCCTCCCGCCATCACTAGTAAAATCCAAATAATTATAGCGATGATAAACGATTGCATTGGTMTATTATAGTATTATATTATTTTAATATTTTAAGCTACAGTTGAAGATCGCGTAGACGGACCAACAAATCGATGCGGTAACTGAATTATACATGATAAAATATAATATCGCTATTCGTCAAATCCTTTTTGTCTGGATGTGATTTTAAAGGGAACGTAATKTGTTGCTTTTGGGGATTATTGTCTCCGATGCGTCTTAAAATATTAATCGTTTTGTGGAAACACGCTCACGTTTCACTCGTCATATTATTATTATCATGACTTGCACTTCAAAGATTACATTTAAGCGTCGAGAATAGATACGCAAGTAAGTAAATACGTATGTGTACAAACTTCGTAAGACTTTTATGTGATTCGCAACAGAATATATAATATTTATATATTAAATAATAATGTATATGAACACCGAAAATTTGACATTAGATCTTGATTTAGTAACAAAAGTTTCTTTGCTAAAACCATACACAAGTCGCTTAGGTGCGTATATAAGTACTTATATAGTTACTGGAATAGGAAACGATCCGAAATAATATTTACATAACCGGAATTAAGTGAGTTGTACCTATTCATATACTCACGGTGTTGTTTATTCTAATTTAATTAGAAAGTCCATGTTCCTTAGCAAATTAAAAATTTAGGGGTTTTCTTTCAAAAACTCTTAGCATACAACATCATAATGTTATAAACATTTCAAAAACAATTGAAATGCTTGAACTGTTTCTTTCCGAAAATCATTTAGAACAAAAAAAAAATATCACAAAACTAGAAGGAAAGTATCAATTTAATATTGTTAAATATAACTCTATATMAAGAGCGGCCAACATGAATACGTCCACGAAATCACATGGATAAATACAATGGTCTCAAGAGCCAAAACGTTTAGAGATAGATTTTATAATTTTTAAAATGTTTTCGTATTTTATCGTTAATAAGTAAATATTGGGGTTTTTTTTTTTTATAAGAAGTGTGCTGCAAGTTGGACACCCCTGCTCTATATGATCGAGTAGAATAATAGCTTTCAATACTTTCTAGCAAACCAACCGTTTGTGATTCTTCATTCAGCGCTCACAAATATTGTCAAAAGTATTGAACAAAAAACGCTTGTTTGCTCGGCTATCATTTTTCATATGACGTGTTTGGGCGAATTTTAAAACAAGTAGAGAAATCTCTCCTGGAGCGTTCCGTGGAATATATGAATATAAATTAGTTAATAACTAACACTGACACCGTTCAAATATATTTTATACAGGCAAGTTGCGAGTTTTTACGGATTAAAAAGGTTGTATGGGTACACCACGTCTATACCTAATCCATAAATTAGGTATAGACGTTATATTAATATTATTTGTGAGAATACATTTTGAAAATAATAATCCACATTGACTCTCTCTTCCTATCCGTTCCAGTAACAACCGTTAACGATACGATCTGTAAGTGCGACATTTTTGGTCGTCGTAGGTTATCAGGCAAACTCTATAGTTTTGATAAACGAATAATGTTTTAGTTACAATTCTTATTGAAAATTACATACACAAATAAGATTTATTTTAACATAATATTGTTATAATAGAGAGTAGTATCTATGTTAGGTTACTATTTTGTCGATAAAATTTGAAGATCTTATTTCGTTTTAAATAAAATGTGTTTTGATGAGCTTTCGTTTTAATATTATTCTAAAGCGTTGTCAACATTCTCCTATAAGTGTAAATAGAGGCGATGGATTATAATGTGAACCTATATAAGGCATAAAACTATAAACTACAACAAAAACGGTTCACCCAMGGCAGTAGTACCGAATCGATTGTTTTTGTACAAATGCTATGCTTTTGTTCACATTCAACTTAGGGCCAAAAAATATTAAAAATCTGTTTTAATGCAATATTTTATAGTGTGCAATCGGTCACAGCACCGGCTTGATATTACTGAACAACGTTAGGATCGCTGACTRCAAACCTGTGTAATAAATGTCACGGCAAGTCAGAAAATAATTTTTAAGTGTATCATTTTTAATAAGCTATTGTAATTGTTATTCAAATTATTCTTAAATATTTTTATAGAACGAAAAATAT